TTGAAGTTTCCATCGCACTTATGAATGAATCACTCATGCGTCCACGCTGCTCCAATGCTTCGATGCGATGCTTCACTAATGAAAGTTGTAGCTGCATATTCTTGGCTACCCTGGCTACCTGAATTTCTTTTCCTTTCCAGTTCTGAAGCAACGTGGTGGTCAGTTTGTCCAGCGAAGTGTACTTACGATTTTGCTTCTCGTAAAAAATGGCAAACCTCACCAAATCTTCTTCTTCCGGAGAATCCGTATCCATCCATGCTGGCACCGTGCTTCCATCGTCTTGCTGATTAAAAATTACTTCTCGAAGTAGATGTGGTCTGCATAGCTCCCATAATTTCGTCTTAAAGTCATTGAGCGACTTTCCATCTACATTCCAGTGCGCAATATGAGCTCCGGAGGACTGACCTTTAAATTCACGCAGAAACACCAGCAGTCGACAGTTGAACAACGCTGGAGATTTGTTTCCTTTCGGCTGAGTTACGTGCTCAGGTGCATCAGGCTGCTCATGGCTTGGATCACTGTCGGGGTCGCTCCAGTCATAGTCGAGAACCTGAACGTCTTCGAATAACGGGTCATCGAGTTGATCCGCCATTGGGTCTTCGTTCTCATTGCCATCCTCCTTGTCTACATCCTCACCATCATCGTTACGGGATGCCCTTCTGGAAGCCATTCGTTCCTTTTGCAGAAGGTTCCTACAAAGATGATATTATTACATCGGTTGAATTTTAGTTTGCAAATCACCAATCTTACCAATTTTGTTGTAAAACAGTTAAAACAGTTTAAAATAAATCACTTAAAAGCTAACTTTTCGAGCGGCTTCAAAGTTTCACGAAAAACAAACAACAATAAACTTTTTTTCATTTTTTTTTTCACTCGATTTCCATTCTGTCAACAATATTCAAGATGTACGTAGAAAGGTGAAATAATTGAGAGCGAAATCGATAGCGAAATATCGTAACGACGAAATTGATATCGGTCGAGTCTAAATGAAGAAAAATTTCGCAATAATCGGGTAATTAAAAAATGGGACATCTCTGATTTTGGTGTGATTGTTTTGATAAAAATGAGCGCAAAATTTCATCTCTACCGAGGGGGCAGTAAAACCTAAAAATTACCTTGAATACGGGGGGTATTCATTGGATGAAAGGGACCGTGAAAGAGGACACTAAAATAGAAAGTTTTTCTTCGGACAGTTTCATCTTAGTATTCATCTTTGCTAGTAGTAGTCACATAGTCACTATGAACGAAGTTCCAATTTCCTGGTCAAACCAAGTGAAATATCTTGGATTAATACTTGACCAAAAATTAACTTTTAAAGATCACATTGAGGGCATTCAAGCCAAATGTAACAAATATATAAAATGTTTGTATCCTCTTATAAACAGGAAATCCAAACTTTGCCTGTCGAATAAACTTCTAATATTTAAACAAATTTTTAAACCGGCCATGCTTTACGCTGTGCCAATATGGTCTAGTTGTTGCACTACCAGGAAAACAGCACTTCAAAGGATTCAGAACAAAGTTCTGAAGATGATTTTGAAGTTGCCTCCCTGGTACAGTACTACCGAGGTACATAGAATTTCGAATGTTGAGACTTTAGAACAAATTTCCAACCAAATAATTAATAATTTCCGGCAAAAATCGTCGAAATCCTCATTTGCAACGAATAATTCCCTTTATACTTGGATAAGATTTAGTTTTAGTTTTTATTTTTAAGATTTCAATTGTTATACTGACATGCAGGTTTAAAAAACCTGTTTAAAATACTGAACTGCCAAGGCAGGAACAATGTAAAAACACTTAGATATATATCATAACAATAAAGGCTGGTAAGTTACTTTAGTAACTGGAGCACCTAGGTTAAAATGAAATGTAATTTATTTTGAATTTGGAACAAATAAAGAGTTTAAAAAATGTTATACGATGTGAGGAAACTTTTACTCAACCTCTACACGGCGAATGAGAACGACCCAAATTTGAGTTTAGTTCACTCATAATCGCTAAAAGTGCAGAAACTCAGCGTTGAGTAAATTTGTCTCATGGTTTCCTGTGGAAAACCTAAAAAATCTGCCGGAAAATGAGGAAATTGACGAAAAAAAAATCAGTCTTAGAGTAGTACCAATAGACTGAGTGAATCCAATCTTTACTTTTCTCAAATTCGGGAATTTTTCCTTGGAAAATCCTGGAAAAACCTGGGAAATTTAAAAACATGGAAACATGAGGCAAATTTACTCATAGCTGAGTTCCTGCACTTTATGTGATTTATGAGTTGACTAAACTCAAATTTGGGTCGTTCTCATTCGCCGTGTATGGAAGCAAATCTGGCGAACTTACACTTAAAAAAATTCACACGTTACCCTTATGTGTTCCACACTTCGATTTGCGCAAATTGCTAAACACATCCATTTCATGTGTGAATCTTATAATATAAATTATTCTCGAACACTACACGTTCAATTGTGATACACTTGGATTTGAAGTTTCTCACATTTTGTTATCAGCAGTCTGACACATAATCATCAAATTTCCTTCATTCAAAAGCATATTCTCGAACATATCTGGCTCGTGTATCTTATTTTTGATAATCGATCAAAACAATATTGCATTTCATTTAATTATTAATTCATTATAAATCATTATTAATTCATAAAAGATAAGAAGAAGAAAAAACACTGCAGCTCTCTTCAATCACGTCACTCCACCAGGACCTAGGAACCCAAGGATACTGTAAAAGACAGTTATGGAGATATAAAGTTTTTCAGTTTTTGATGTTATACTCAGTTATTAAATAGGATTTACTTACCATTCCTGATCAGTTTTCTGTTTTAAAGATGATCCAGCCAAAGGGCTGAAAATCTATCTAATGAAGCCAAAAATAAAGTTCTATTTCATATAGAACTGACCAACTTCTTCACACCGGCTGACAAATTGATCGCTACTGGTAAAAGTAATTATTGTCAGTAAAATAAGATCCCATGAATTTCAATCTATAGAGCAACCGTAAGAGCAACCGTAACGGTACGCTGCTAAACTCATTTTAGCAGCCCTCATCATAGCGCAGCTACCGTATGGGGGGTTGCCATACGAGTATCTAAAATAGCAGTCGGCTTCTCGGTGAGAAGCGCGTTACCAAATTTAGCAGCGCGGGAGAAAGGTTGCTATTCGTAGAAATGTCAAAATGCTCACTACCGGTGCGGACTACGGCGAGTAAATTGATAAACGCGATAACAGCGACCGGTGTGGAGAAGAGTGACTAAACTAAAATGAGAGCGCTGTGCGCTGTTAAAATAGTCGCGCAAATGACAACGACCGTTACGGTTGCTCTTAGAGCAACATCAACCTTATACATTCCATAAGACAAACCACATAGGTCCTATAAGAATGCATAAAAGGTATGTGTGACCGCTTATACATTTCATTTGACACATTATCTTCATTAACTTTTTGCAAGGCGTCTGCTTATTAGTTGACTTATACATTTTATGAATAATCAACAATAGAAATTTGCCAAAAGGTATAAGGAGATTTCTATCCGTGTAGAGGCTTTATCATGAATCACTTATAGCAGTTATTTCAGATCCTTTTTTTTCATAGGGATTTTTTCATAACATAACTACCCGAAAAAAATAACAGCAAAAATACATTAAAAAACAATGTAATAATAAGACGAAAATTATTGTCTTAACAATGATTTATATTGTTGCGTCTACAATAAATTTACCTTGATTTATGTTGTACAAAACAGTAAATTTCATGGTAAATGGAAAATTTACAATAAAAAAGGGGGGTTGTTAAGTATCTTAACAATGAAATTTTCGTGATTTCCCCATATAATTTTTTTCAATAACATCATATATTATTGTTATTTTACTGTTGGTTGGTGAATTTATTGATTAAAAAAATAACAGTGTACTTTAGAGTGTATGTGTTGGCTTGACAGATCTACCTTATCGACTTTAAAAATAAATTGAAAAAATAAAACATCTCCCGGGAAGAGAAGGGGTGGTGGTATGTCTGTTACGGGTGAGTCCTTTTTTTACAGGTATTGGATTGAGATTCGATCCGGAACTTGTAAGAAATGGAGGCCAACTCCCCTGCACTCGATCTCCCTAGGTCACGTCTCCTTGGTGATTGAGCGTCGTTGATAAGTTAATGCATTCGACTGGAGAGAATCGCCCATGAAATATGCTTCCACCTGAGAGTTCCTTCCTGACATCTTCAAGTGGTGCAATTTTTGTTTATTATTATTGTTTGATTATAGACTGCACGGAAAAGGTCTGCATTAAGCGGGATTTAGATGAGGCAGGTGAGTTGAATTCAACTCAAACCGATCTGGTCGTAGGCGTTCAACTGACTTGGCAACGAATAGAGCAAGTCCGATATCGGTCAGCGCCTATCTTGATTACATTGGCAGTGTGGCTGACCCTCTCATAGTCTTCATGCTTCAATCAGATTTATTTTTATTGTTCGTGAAGTAACCCACAGTGAAAACACACCAATATTTAATGTAACAACAATTTTTATTGTAATAGAGTTGTTCATTATTGTTCATGATCGAATCATGTTAACAATAAAATAAATGAGAAAAACGATAAAAATCATTGTAACAACATTTTATTATGTACATTCATTGTACAGCTAGGTAGCAGTTTTGCTGTTTTAGGAAGGGTACAACATTATAACAATCATTTTATTGTCGACAATAAATGTTAATGTTAGAGCATTGTTTCCACTGAAAATTTCACTGTAATTTTTTTTTTCGAGTACCTACCCTGAAAATATGTAAAACCCGGAACCAAACACCCTGATACTAATAAATATTTTTCTTTTCGAAACATCGGCTTAGCGGGGAGCTACTGTGCCGTCAATTTTCACATCGATATCGGCTCACATCTTGCAATCTGAAATTAAAATTTCCTGTTTAGCGTGTACGTACAAACTGTCAAAACTGCCAGCATCGCAGTTTTTCTTCACACGGGAGACGGATCATAACAAAAGCATCATCCGCTTCGCTTCTGGACGCAGTTTCATTTTCCATCGTCGGAACCATCAGCAGTGAAATGGCATCCCCATTGGAGAATCTAGAAAATCACCTGGAAATGTTCATCGAAAACGTGCGCCAGATCCGGATCATCGTTAGCGACTTTCAACCGCAGGGCCAGAACGTGCTGAACCAAAAGATGTGAGTACAACATAATAGATAGCAACATAATGAGTAACTGTCTCTGTTTTTTTCCACAGCCAATCGCTGGTAACAGGATTGCAGGAAATTGACAAACTCAAGAACCAAGTGGACGTGAATGTACCGCTGGAAGTGTTCGACTACATCGATCAGGGCCGAAATCCTCAGCTCTACACCAAGGACTGCATCGACAAGGCACTGACCAAGAACGAAGAGGTCAAGGGCAAGATCGATTCCTATCGGAAGTTTAAGAGCAACTTGCTGAAAGAGCTGGACGATACCTTCCCGACCGAGATAGCCAAGTACAAGGCGATTCGGGGGGATGAATAGTATTAGGAAACGGAAGGGGGTTCCGGTAGGTTTAGGTGGAATTTATTTAATTTTCTATGGTGAATAAAACACGATCTTGAGAGACTTTTTTTTTCTAAATTTTATTGGTGATCAAAAGTTAGCCCTCGCGGTGAAAGTAAGAACTACTATCGAAATGATAATAGTTTCAAAATTCCTTCACGGTACACGGTACGAACAAAGCATTTTTAACATTCCTAATGCATTAGGAAACATTTACAGGATTTTCAGGCCAAAAACTTCAAGGGCTACCCGATAGACGCATACTATAGTATCATCAGTATGCTATCAATACATAGATGTTTGTATTGATAGCGTCAACTTTTTTTAACACCGTAGTGAAAACCAAATTTAATTACAATGTTTAGGTAAAAATTCGCTCCCGTAGGTACCTCACCGTAAAGGAATTATGAAACCATATCATCATGTCGATAGTTCTTAAGCTGGGTTTAGACAGGGCAAGTCATTAAAATTCAACTGACTTGAACGTGTAAACCATGCCATTCAACTGACTTGATCAACTCACTTGAATGGAAAAAAAATTGAACCAGGCTCAACTATTCAAGCCTATTGAATCCAACAGAGTTGATCATTTGACTTGCCTAGTCTAAACTAGAAATTAATACTCAGAGGGAGAGATGGGCGGAGAGAATGTTTTGAGCCAAATGAACTGTCAAAATTTGACCCTAATAAAAAATACCAGAAACGAACAATAACCCAAATGATTGAACTATTCCACAAATGGTTTGGATGATACCCCGAACACGTCGTTAAGCAAAATAACCATTTCAAAGTTATTAGGGGAGCCAATCGAATTTTTCCGAGGATTTCTTATTCTTACTAGATTTAATTTGAGAGTATTGCAATCGAACAGAGATTCAATCACCTTTATGTTTGCAAACCACCATGGTGTGCTTTTCAAATTCAACTCGTTTTTGGAATCAAAAACAATATTCTAACTCTATTGATTAATTCAGTGCCAACATTTCAAAGGGGCGTTATTGCTTTTGTAAACAATGACTTCAGCCGTCAATTTCTCGCGAATGAAATCTTACCTTTCCAAAATTACAATGCCAGCTGGTAGAGGAAACAATCCTCTACACAGCAAAAAAAAAATGTAATATCGATCAACGTAATTCCAGCTGATGTATGAAATAATGATGTAATAGCAAAAATCAGATACAATATTACATCAATGGATGTAATTTTGTTCGCAAAATCGATGTACATTGTACAATGTGATATTACACAACCGATGGATTGACCTGGTTGCATCAGTTTCGATGTAATATTCAACAACTTTTTTTGCTGTGTACTTGCTGATGTAATTTTTTTCATGAGTGAGCTTTTATTCGTTAGAAATCGACGGCTAAAGCCATTGTTTACAAATGCAATTACGCCCCTTTGAAATGTTGGCACTGAATTGATCTTAGCGAGGGGCGTACAAATCCCTGCTGCCGAATTGCATTTTGTTTTCTCCGCCCATCTCTTCCTCTGAGTATTTCTAGTCTAAGCCCAGCTTTATGTTCGCGACTGTAGTGTGAAAGGGGTATAAAAGTTTATTATCGCATCAAAATCAAAACATGCTTCCAATTTCTAAATTTAGTGTGTAAAACTGACAGCATATGCCTGACATTTCTGTTGACAGCTCTGCGCTTCCCAAAATTTCACGAATCGCGAAAGTCGAACTCTGCAGAGTGTTTTGAATAGCACGCGAACGAAATTGTTGGTGATCGCGAATTAATTTTAGGAATTTTTCTCGCACTAAACAACCCTTTCGGTGTGAATCGTCATGGCTCTCCACTTTGTCCTCCGATCTTCGTGCAGAAATTCTGGTGAGTAGCAGCATTCCCGAGTGTGGCGAAGCTTGCGTTTCCAGGGGCAGATTTTCCTCCTCAGAAAGTTTGTATTACATAATAACAAATGAAAGAATGCTTTTGGAAATATTTTTTCGGCAGCTCCAATCTTCGTTTCGCTTCTCAATGCCGGCAGAGTACCGGCCGTGAGCCGTTCGCTGACAACTGTCTCCAAATCGCTGCTGCTGCCAAAGCCGGTGCCCTCGATTGGAATCGCCAGCCTGAGACAGTTCTCTGCTAGTCCCATTCGCCGGGCTGCCGCCACCGGAAACCACGTCACGCTATGGAATGCCGAGCGAGCCCTCTCCGTGGCCCTTATCGGTATTCTTCCCGTTGGTCTGATGTTCCCCTCGCAAGCCGGTGACGCTCTGATGGCCATCAGCATTGTTATGCATCAGTATTGGTAGGCATTAGCATTGTTGTTTGTACGCACAAAAAGATGATAACGATTTCTTTTAACTCGTTCCAGGGGACTGGAAGCCATCGTGACCGATTACGTACGACCGATCATGTTCGGGGCGGCTGTTCCCAAGATTGCCCACGGCCTGTTGCTGGTCGTTTCCGCTGCCACCCTCGGAGGACTGTTCTACTTCATTCACAATGATATCGGTATTGCCAACACCATCCGGAAGATCTGGTCTACCAAGTCGAAGGCTTAAACAGATGATTGCGCCGCCTGGAGGAAGTTATCAATATTAATAGTGAAGCAATCGCGTCTTGCACCCGCACTTTTCAGGGAATTTTCGGATAATGAAAGGTAACCTCTCTCCCGGAACAACACCAGAAAACAGAAGTGATCCAAATCGAAAGCGAAATTGTACGAGCGTGTCACATTTGAATAACAAAGTTATCTCTTATTTAAATTATTCGTGAGACATAAAGTGTAAAGAAAATCGAGTTAAAGGCGTTTTCCTTCTCTTATTTACATTAGAATAGAGTCCTATAATTTGCTTCTATTATATACGTCGTTGACTGGTTTCGTTGCGTAGTGTTGTTGGTCTTATTGCTGCGCGGTCGTTGCTTCCGGTGGCTTCTGATCTGCGGTCATCCGGGTGTCGTGGAATAATCGCAGCGCTTCCCACTGTTTGCTGCCGAGCAGCACGTGCGATCGGCATTCGCGCATATGTTGCACCGCCCGCTCCGGGCTCCAGCCGTTGCGCTGTAATTGGACGGTTGGAATGATGGGATCAGTTTTGGTGCTGTTGGCGTTGAGCTTTCTTACTTATAGCGAATTAGTTTATTATCGGGGTTGGAACCAGTTCCAACCCAGTGCGAAACCGAACTTTTTGTCAGTGTGAACCTCAACCTGAGTAACTGAGTCTTCTCCTACTCGATGGTAATGTCAGGGAGAGCCACGAATTTCGAGAAATCATCGAGAGAAGTCATTGTTTACAAAAGCTGTTACGCCCTAATTCCAGCTCTATCTAGAGCTAGGTTTTAAAATCAGAGATTGTCAGAAAACAAACAAACCTAATTTTGATACCCGATCCAGGTTGGAACTGAATAATAAACGAATTCGCTTCTCATTTGGAAAGGGTTTTTCACGTTTTTATGGAAACGAAAACATATTGGTTCTCCCTTCTTATGGTTCAATTAGTCATATGATATGCTGACGGGTAACTTATTAATATGTTAATTATGTTGTGAATTTAGGAAAAATCACAATAGAGTTCTATAACTCTATATACTGCAACATTTTTGGAAAAAAGAGCGTAATAGGGTTTATTATTTTTGCTAATGTAATCACACTTATTTCAACTAGTTCCGGTGCTCCAAAATTGAATTCTTTAGTGGTATTGAGGTAATTGCATATTCGTAGTCGAAACGAAATCCAAAATTTCATTAATTTTGGAGCCTCGTTTGGAGCACTGTTTCAAATAAGTGTGATTACATTACCAAAAATCACAATCTTAGCGCCCCTCAGTGGAACTTTGTATGGGAGCAAGCTGTCAATTTGTTAGCTTTGTATCTAACAGTAATAAAGTGGTTATTATATTATATAAAAATTTAGATGGAAGTAAATGTGATTGAAAAAATAACGTTGTGCTCAAAGAACGAAGCCCTTTCCGATAATTTGTTTTCAAAATTAAAGAACCGAATTGGGTTGTTTAGGGGTTTTGAACAGGAGTGGAACTTCAGATCAGAAAGTGGCTCCACTTGTCATTTGCGAACACTAGCGCACCTAGCGGTAGAAGGCATCTTCTGCCTGCAGTTAAGATATGCAGCATGCTATGATAGTGTGAGTGCACATAGAAAGCCCGTGTGGAACGCTACCACAACACATCGCTTGTTGAGCAGAAAAACGAACCATTTTTGATTCACCGATTTGTTTGCACTTCCCCTTCTGTTCTGTGGTATTGAGCTAAACGCATATTCGTTATCTGCATTAAAAATGGAACCGAAATCCAAAATTTCATCAATATCGGTACACTGGAACTATTTTAAATAAGTACGATTACATTATCAAAAATCACCATCTTAGGCGAGATCTTAGGCTGTGTTCCATTTGGTGAATTTTCACTTAAATTTGACGCTTCGAAAATAAATTGTAATGTTCGAAAATCCCTCTGCTGTTGATCTTCTGATTTTCGAGAAGGTCTTTGTCAAAATTTATTCCTGGTCTGTCAGAGATAAGTCTGGTACAACAGCAGGTTAATTTGAAAATTTTCCATCTGTCAAATTTAAGTGAAAATTCACCAAATGGAACACAACCTTAGTGCCCCTCGGCGGGACTTTGTATGGGAGCGAGCTGTCAACGAATAGATTTAGTGTCGACGATCAAACATTTAAATCTTGATTTAAAAATCAAGATGAATATCTACGGGATCGATAAAAATATCGTTGTGCTCACAAAACGAAGCTCTATCAGATGATGTATAAAAATCGGTATATTTTTCGAAGTTAAACAGCCCAATTGATGAAAATTTGGATTTCAGTTCCATTTGACATGCACGAATGTGCAATTGGATTCTTTAAGGGTATTGAGGTAAATGCATATTCGTAATCTGCATTAAAAATGGAACCCAAACCCAAAATTTCATCAATATCGGTACACTGGAACTATTTTAAATAAGTACGATTACATTTGTAAAAATCAGCTTATTAGCGCCCCTCGGTGTCACTTTGTATGGAAGCGAGCTGTCAGTTTGTCAGTTTAGTGTCAAACAGTGAAGTTATTATTTTGCTTTAAATCTTGATTTGAATTTCGAGATGAAAATGTGTGGGTTCGAAAAAAATATCGCTGTGCTCAGAAAACGAGCTTTTTCAGATGATACATAAAAACCGATATATTTTTCAAAATTAAAGAACCCAATTACCAATTGGGTTGTTTAAATTAGGGAAACATACCGATTTTTATACATTGTCTGAAAGAGCTTCGTTTTCTCAAATAACCTTAAAATCTCCGATACAGCAACGTACTCGGCTTCCGAACTGCTCAAAGTTACGAAATCTTATTTCCGGAACACCATCCGATCATACAACCTGCGTACCGGATCAAGTAGCCGGTAGTTGACTTGGTTCCTTTCAGGTACCTAAGGCTGCGACGGGCAAGTTGTTTTTCTCAGCAGGATCGAAACAGCTGCTGCAACATCAGGATGAGTACTCATGGCCACGTACAACAACCCACCAATCAAGCTGGCGTACTGCTGGTTATTGAGCAGTGGGATCTCCTCCTTTGAATGTAGGTGGCCAGGGTCCAATGGAATTGCGGAGGGCTTCACGTTTTCCAAACCGAATCTGATCAGAAGCTTTAGGATGTAGGCTCTCTGAATCAGTGCAACATCCAAGTGATGTCACCGTAAAATTCTGGTTCAACTAACTAATTTATTTATTTTTTATTTAATAAGTCATCTGACAAAGTTGTCTTAATGAATAAACTATTCGTCTTAAATAAGGTTCAGTCTTTTTACTCTATTCACAAATTGAGGTGTGGACATACCAAAATCAAACGCGGACTCCACGGATACAAACATAGGAACCATTGCACAAATAGGCTGATTGTAGCCATAGAGCGTACGATGAAAGCTTACGTCTTCGATCAAGCATTTCGAGGTCAAGCAGACGGCATCTATCGGGATATGCTGGAAGGTTCAAAGGATCACGCCACGGTAGGTTTCTTATGTCGTTTTCGTTTTTGCGGTGTAGCACTGGTGTAGTGTAAGCAGGAATAAGCGCGAGTCTTTGACAGCTCAACATCATTTGTTTGTAAACAAAGGTGCATCCTATATCTACACCCTAAAATATTTCGGTGTACGGCAGTGTAGCACCGGTGTAGCTACACCGCAAAAACGAAAACGACATTAGATTCCATGATACGTCGTTTGGAGCCCATACAACTGAAGCATCTTCTAGGATCGGCCTTACGAGTGAACAATACAATGCTTTTAGACAGTGTGGATCCGTGAAATCCTTGGCAATCTTAGAGATGAAGCCAAGTTGACGATTAGCCTTGAAAATAATCGATGCATAATGGGAATGAAAGGAAAGCTTCGAGACCAATACGACACCAAGATCCGTCACTTGATCCCCTCTGCTAAGAACAGTGTCATCGGTGTGGTATTTATAAATTAACGGGTCTTTGGACCGATAGAAGGTCATCACATGGCATTTCGCGACGCTGATGACAAGCTTGTTCGAGCGGCACCACTGAACGAACATGTTGAGCAACATTTGCAGGTGAAAACAGTCCTCGATGCAGCGTACCACTACATAGATTTTCAGATCATCAGCATATACGAGCTTGCACTTGTGGCCAAGGGTAGATGCAGCGTCATTGAAGAATAACACAAACAATAACGGTCCCAAATAACTTCCTTACGGGACACCGGACGTGCTAACAAATGGCGATGAAACATAAGATCCGTGTTTAACGTACAGCGTTCTGCCGGTCAAGTACGATGACAATCACGACACCAATCGATTTGAGGCTCCCAATCTCGGTAGCTTGCAGAGCAACACTTAATGTTCAAATTTGTCAAAAGCCACCGTATAGATTACGTCAACCTGCGCTTTATCTTCCATAGCCGAAAAAAAGGTAGTAGTTAGATCCAGCAAGTTAGTAGCAACAGACCTACCGGGGATAAATCCATGTTGATCTGACGAAATGTGGTTTTTTGTAGCGCGTAGAATTTGATCACTGTCGGCAGAAATGCTTGTTATCCCACGGTAGTTTTTAAACATCTCATCGGTCACCACTTTTGTGCACAGGAAACATGTGCGATAGTTTCCATCTCATGGGAAAAATTCACCTAGCTCAAACCAACGGCTGAAAATGAAGGCTAGCGTCTCAGCTACTGCGCATGCGCAGCGACGGAAAACAGCAGGAGGGATACCATCCGGGCCAGGAGCAAATGAATTCTTCAACTTTTTTGAAGCCCCGATGATCACTGCAGATGAAATTTCGAACGTGTCTAAATCAACTGCATCCATCGCGACATTTGTCGCAGTCAGATCGGTCTCGACACTGATTCGAAGACGGATGCGAAATGCATCACGAAGAAATTGCATGCTTCTTCTTCACTATTGGACTATTTGCCATCATAGATCACATTAGGCGGAACTGATGAGCTTTTCCTCTTGCTGTTTACGAAACCTCAAAACGATTTCGGATCCCGGCGTAAACCAAACTGCACCCTCAAACCGTGTGATTTGTAGAGTGACGCATTCAACTTTCTGTAGCCGTCGCTCGCTCGTTTGAAGTTAGTTTTTGCAAATACGGATTCATGCGCCCGGAAATAACGTTGCCACCGATTCCTTTCTTTCTTAGATTTCCGAAGAAGGGGCATACTCCAAGGAGGAGAGACAGGTTTTCTCATCGTAGGAACGTTTAAGTTGAACCATTGGCGGATGATGGCACAATAATTTGCGGTAATTGAGTGCTCTTTCGAATTCATTTGCCACCGGAAGTTGCCTAGGAAATTCAGCTGCAACATCAACGCGAATATCAAGTGGGGGGTGGTGCTGATCTACTGGCAGCAATTGATCATCAGCAGAATATACACAGGCGCCTGAGTCAAAAGCAAGAACGAATGCCATTTTCATCCTCAGACCAGGCAGTACGAGGTTGATTGTAATCGCCGCACACGAGTACAATGTCATCCAGAGAAACGTTGTCGCAGAGTTCACGAACGGTGGCGATGTGTTTTTCAATCAGATCGA